GGCAAAACACACACCGCACCCTTCTCCACTCAACAGACACACTAACCTCGCCCAACAAACGCACACATCAACCCCACAGCAATGAACACATGCAGCACCCTTCTTCACTCAACAGACACACTAACATCTCCCACCGAACAAATGCTTTCCCTGTGCATGCATGTACTCCTGCAGCACTCTACGTGCCGCCGTTCGATCACGCGGACATCTGGGAAGGACATGGCACTGTAGTGCATGAAATCAAACAGCAACTGCCGCAAGGAGTGGTCCCAGCCGCTGTGGTGGTGTCAGTGGGAGGAGGCGGTCTATTCAATGGCGTCGCACAGTATGTTTATGTGCATGTGCAGAGGGTCTCTTAGGTAGTATATATATATATATATATATATATATATACCTGCTTGCAGTCATCAATGGATTATGTATAAGACATTTATGGAGAATGTATATACGGCAGCATGCCACGGAAAATGTTTGACACTATGTGCGCAGCAGAAGATATTTTACTACAGACGGAGCATATGAAATACTATCTGGATGGTACCTGTTTTACTTTAACTAATCATTCACGCCTACGCTACACTCTTACCCATAACACGCGCACCCCCATCTGTGCTTTTACATCCAGGCGTGGAATACACACCACGCACAAAAACTACACACACATGTGTGACCATATCACCACACTACTTTTCATATGTCTCCGCAGATGCACACGGACACACACCCCAAGTGAACCAATACATTTCCCGGAACAACGGATCACACGCGTAACTACACACGAAGACACTCAGCAATGCCTGTCTGCGCACATATCACCCACACAGAGGCCTTGAATCGTCCGATTGGTCGCACGTGCCTATAGTCGCTGTGGAGACCAAAGGCGCTGAGAGCTTTAATGCCATGACCAAAGCACGTGCACTGGTGCGCATCCCAGCCATCACGTCACTCGCCAAGTCACTCGGCGCTAACTGCGTGTCACAGCGGTCACTGGACATTGTGCTGTCGGGCAGGTGGGTGGGATAGCGTGGGGCGTGTAGTCTACATGTTGTGATATATATATGTATATATGCATATATATATATATATATATATTGATGCATTGATACATGAATACAGTGAACATGAATACAGTGATACAAAAATACATACTTACCTACATTCATTCATGTCGTCATGGGTGGTATTGTGCACTCTGTGATGTGATCTTTTTGTTTTGTGGCGAGTGTTATAGCGTCTCTTATGGTTTATGCTCGATGTGTCCCTTATCGGCGACTGATGACGGTTGTACACATGTGTATGTAGTTGTGTTGAAACATCGTACACGCTGGGAGTATCGCACAAGTCTGCATCAAATGCGCACCATGTGCCACAGAACTCTGAATACAAGTGTTTTGTATCATTTACCTTACTTCTGATTCCTGTGGATGCACCTGTTGTCTTCTAAGTGTTTCTCCGCTCATTTCTTGGACTTTTGTTTCTATGACAACGGCAGTGCCCATGCAACTGCTATTACCGGGAATTGTGCCGTACTGTATCTGTGGTGTTCGTAAGAGATTCTTGAGATCACACAAGTGTAATGTACCGCATTGTCCTGACCGTAAACATCGTATACCCCTTGTCGCATGACACAAGAGTGAGTACTAGGACGCAACGACTAGTATCGCAAGTGCACCCCATTCACATGACCACTGTGTCTCACCCCTTACACCCTATAACCACAGACCGGTCAAAAGCATGGTAGTATCTGACCGACAGGCTGTGCTAGCCGTAGAAAGCTTTCTGAATGACGAGAGACTGCTGGTGGAGCCTGCGTGTGGGGCTTCGCTTACCATTGCGTATAATGAGAGCCTTCTGACCGAAGCAATGAAAGACAACACGTCGACTGGCCCGATAGTGATTATTGTATGTGGCGGCAATGCTGTTACACTAGATGCGTTGCGCACGTGGTTAGACACAACGGCGTGAGTGTAGTAGAAAACTAGCCAGGAAAATTAGATTAGTTAAGAGTCTAAATAAAGTTTCAGTGGTGATAGGCTCAATATTGGGCGCGAACACAACCAATCGAGTGGTGAATTCAGTGCAGGTTTGAAAGGAAGTTTACTTTGAGTTGGTTAGCTACATATGAATACTAACAGCCTTCAAAAAATTCACCGGAGATTCCAACTATCCTATTATGATGCGAATGTAGTTTTCGCAAGGAAGACAACCTTTATTCATAGTTCATCTGCGGACCTGGGTGAGAGTGTATTCATGCATGTTTATTCCTTTATGGGGTCAAGGTTTTCAACTTACTGAACAGGCGGATATATGCCAATATTTACTATTAAAGGCAACAGTTCTCGCTCAATCCGTTAAGGCAAGGTTCTATATTTTAATGCATGGCACTAGGCCGGTGTGTTCTTTGTACACGCATCTATCTCTTGAATAGACCACATGATGATGCCACGACATGTGCACCGGGCACTTCCCAGAAGGAGTCTGGAAACTACGACAGACACCTGATTCTGAGGAAGATACGGATATCAGGCTATTTACAAGGTGAATGAAAGTCGCACTTGTTTTACAATGCGACACTCTGACTCAGGTAAGACTGTGTCTATGGATGTACCAGAGTGGTTGATATCCCTCTACGCGTGGGCGTACATACTTGTACTCGAAACCAACGTTGGCGTTAACGGGTTCTAGACTGAGCTTTCGGTATGTGCCTACGTGGAGGGTGGATGAGTTGAAGACTTTCTAAACTGTGTGTATATTTTTGTATATACACAACTGCGTAAAACTCTCACACTCGCACAGTGTACTATCGAGCTTGTGTACGAAAAAACATCGCAACACCATCAGAGGGGTTTATCTCCAAACCAACGATACATCTTTTTCAATACAAGTAAATGTATGATAGTGACACCGGAAGTGGATGTATGTCCGGCAGAGTTATCACAGTATACAAATCATTCGTTAATAGTATATTTGCAGTTACTTAGTTCCCACATAGAAACCTGCAATAGTCTGTCAGAATAGTGGTATGAGGATAGCCACTACGACTGGCCCATTTCCCCAGGGCTCAGGCCTCAAGCCTCAGTTGAACAATGAAACAATAACATTCTAAATTAGACAAAAACCAACAAAAAATATCAAGAACTATAGTCTATATGAACCATGATTTCCAGGACGGTCATGACTGAAGTAACACAACTATTTTACATGTGTTTACACCTTTTGTTATTGTACAATCTACATACATACATAAGTATATCGACAATAAAGCTACATATTTACACACATACCTATTTTTTAAAGCATTTCAATTTTACATATTTACCTCTCGCCCCTGCCTTTCTCGCCATTGTGTATGTACGTAAAAAGTCCAACTACAAACAAAATGATTCTATAAAATTCAATAAAAATAGTATTTGTTTTTCGTAAAAATAAATTCAAATATGATTTTCAGGCCAAACCATTACGTGTCACGCGACTTGGCGGGTGTCAAAAATTCAAAATGTCCTAAAAAATGTCGTTGTATTTACAAATGTATATATTGAATGTCCAATGTTTCTGATGGTCACGTTAGGTTAGGCGGCTATGTTCTGACTGTGTAGTGTGGGGCCAAAACCCAAAGCCCAATGGCCTTTCATAATATAAAAATTAGCTGTGGAATGTTAGTCATCACCAATAAGATGGCGTTATACGATGGAGTGATCAACATACGCTGGTTTACAAGCATCGTACTTCAGACGTATCAAAATCACAACAGGTATGTTTTAAACTTTACTGTAGGAAAGCACAACCAGCGGTATTAAAAAAAACGCAAACAATCTGTAAAAATGAAGAGTTTCAGACACGTCGTTTAGTAAAATTGATATATGACGATCGCAAACGAATAGCTATATGTCGTTTACCAGCTCCTTTTAAAAATTTAAGCATACGATACGAGTCATTTGACTCTCAGTAAATAGAGGGAGCGTCCTCTGATCATCTCATCGAGGCTCTCAAGTTCCACGACGAGTTCTTTTAACTGATATGTAAATCATTGAGGAACACAATAAAAATTGTATGGAGCGCTCGTCACTTGTAACGACTATAAAGTACGAGCACATTAGTGTACACGCTTTATTCTCACCCCGGGCAAAAGCAATCGAGGCAGACATTAATATAATAATAATAAAGATGGTTCAACTATACTCCTTCTCCGCTTTGGCCTTCGCCTGTGGAGCTTTGGCACAGACCGACGACTGTCAAACTGTCACTGAAATTCTCGCAGCAAACGAAGATCTGCGCACATTCTACGACCTAGCACTGACGGCTGATGGCGTTTTGGATATTCTCGACGGCTCGGAATTCAAGACAGTTTTCGCACCAGTCAATGCTGCCTTCGACAACAACGAGGCATTGACAGCTGCCGTTGGTGATGCGGCAATAGTGTCGGATACTATCCTGTACCATCTACTAGAGGGCAATGTTACGGACCAAATAGGAGAGGATGTCAACGCCATTCTTGAGTTCACATTGCTCATGTTGAACATCGAGAACACAACCGTCACCGCCACTGACGGTGTACTTATGATCAACACGGCCAACTTCGAACAGGTCAACATCCAGGCGTGCGACGGTACGATAAACATCATTGATGCTGTGCTTGTGCCAAAGTCGTTGGAGGCGCTGGTCAATGGCGAAGATGCAGAGGCAGACGTCGCCGATCCTTTCGGTGGAAATCCCTTCGGAGACACAACTGAGGACACCGAAGAGAGTGCGGCGAGTTCTGAAGTAGATCTCGATGTGTCTGTGTCAGTTGAAGGTGACAGCAGTAGTATGGTTGACGAAGACATGGCCACAGAGTTCCCTGTGTTTACCGGCGAGGCTATGGAAAGCAGCATGGAAATGGAGAGTGACATGGAGAGTGAAATGGAGAGTGAAATGGCCAGCGGTGAGCCTGAGGTGCTTGTGGTCACTGAAGTGGTTGTGGTCGTAGAGACGGCACCTGCCCAGGTTGAGGGTGAAGTAGCTGCCCCTGAGGAGCCTCAAGTGGTTGTGGAGACGCAAGTGGTTGTGGAGACACAGGTCAACACAGTAGTTAACACCAATGTGGTGACTGAGACTAATGTGGTTACGCAGACGGGTACCGCTGTTGATGAGGTCGTTGTCGCAGAAGAGGGCGACACAGGCATCACAGGTGGGTTCGCCAGAAAGAGACGTTTGTCCAAGTGGTGGTGAATTGGCCAATCTCCGAGCAGGCCTTTCGGATGATTTCAAGCTGCAGGTATAGTACAAGTCGATTCAAGCTGTAAGCATAGTAAAAAATCAATGCAATAAGTAAGTATAGTACATTGAGAAGCGGAGTGCTTTTTTGATTAAATTTAAAATAGTCTTTCATAGTTCTAGTCATACGATTCATACATATATAACCGACGCTTGAGAGTGCGTTATACTTTGTGCCCACTTTTAACGGCTTACAATGCATTCGGTGCTGATTTTCGCACCGATATATTGACCAAGTCGTAAAAGCCTTTATTTGTATTAGTCTTTTCACTATTGATTTCACCGTAGAAACAGTATTAATATTTGTAGCATGTATGTAGTCATATCGCTATTGATTATTATTTGTGTTCGTTATTCTACGACTGACTTAACAAGAAGCATTTATTTGAAATAGTCATTCTAAATACTACTGATTTTGCCGTAGAAACAGTATATTTGTATTAGTCATTTTACGATTGACTTCGCCGTAGAAACAATTATTTGAAATAGTCTTTTTATTTACTACTGATTTTGCCGTAAAAACAGTGCATTTGGAATAGTCATTTCAACTGCCAATGTGCTGGGAGCGTACTGGCGCTTTCCCTTATTACCGTGCGTTGCTACCACTCCTCCATGCGTTGCTATACCACAGGTGAAGCAATTCCACATGATCAGGCCAATGGCTCCCAAGTACAATGGGGGACCATATGCAGAGTGCAGTCTTGCTAATGGTAATGTTTCTGCCGTCGTTCTTGGCAACGTGCCTGTCAACCTGGTGGCTACAAGACCATTCGTGCATGAACCATACATGCGTGGCCTAAGTATTGCACAGATGGTACTGTGACGTGCATCCTTCCCTACGCCATGCAAAGACTCGCGCGTGACAGGGTGGTATGTACGGCAGAACTGACATGGGTCTCAAGTTACTCACAAACAGCAGCTATATGAGGCACACGTACACCTTGATTGGGTTGAAAATCTCAACAGTTATTGCACACAATGATGTGAGGACTATAGCTCAGGAAACCGCACCCTGCGGGCGAATAAGCCCACACAGCAGCGCATGTCACTTGCACATATTTACGAGCGAGTATCATACGCCGTGTTTAGCATTCCCCACCATATTCGAGCGGCGAAGTGCACTAC